CGGGTAGAGGATCCCAGCAAGACGAACACTCCTTTTCTGAAAAAGGCAATATTACAGTTATGCAAACAAGGAATCTTTCAAGAACAGCAAAAATAGAAGGCACTTGAAAGTCAATCACCTGCTTGTTTCCCTCGAATAGACTATGGAAAGAAGCAGATGTGTAACCCGCCACTACTGATGTTAGAGTGTACATGATAACGAGAGAAGTCAACAGCATTCCGCGATTGTATGGGTACAGAAACCCGGTGAAAGCAAATGCAAATAGAGCAATCATCCTGAAGACCAAAAACAAGTCAGAGATATTGAAAATATTAAAAAGACAAATGTTTCAAATGTCAATAAACACCATTCATCTTGTGACTGGACTTGAGTACTCCTAGTAAATGAAAACAGTATGTATCATTTTCAAAAGCTTCAAAAGCTAACCTAATCTATATGTTTTTCAAGGGTACTTAACAAAGGGCCATGACAAAACTGGGCTTTTTACTAAATCAAGGTTTGCAACCGGAATCGAGTGTGATGCTTTATGTATTCTTTTCTTAAAGATAAGATAAGCTAGAAAATATAGAAAATAGAATGGCAACAATATAATTATAGATTATAGAAGCTTACAGGATTAACAACTGAGTACCAGTTCCTAAGAACGCACATAGCAAGGAGATGTTGTGAGGACATCTAAATACATCACTTTGTATGAGTTTCCAACCCACGTCCTTTTTTTCTTCTTCATCTCCATTTGAGGAACTGAAATGCATGGAAGAGAAGTTAACTCAAAAGGATAAATCTTATCATCACATATGCCAAACTACAGAAAGCGAGAATAGTCTCCTAAGAAAAAGTTGTCACCTTCTTAGTTCATTCTTGAGATGACGCATGAAGAGCAGAGAAAGCAGTCCAATTATCAAAACAGCAACAATTATCGAGTTAAGAAATGAGAACAAGTGAATCTTTTGGCTGATAGGATGAAGTGACGCCTGGGAGTACTTGTTCATTCGTGTCTCAGACCGTTCTGAAGTCAAATTCCAAGAAACCGAGTACGTAAATTGAACATCAATCTCAACGTTCTCCGATATATCAACCAGATAATTCGGATCACTAAAACTGTTGATTTCAATAACTTTGTCTGCATTGTACAGAACATTAAACTTCAAGTGACTGAAAATATAATACTTAGTATGCTTCTCCCCTTGAACAAAATCATCTCCCTCTACTTTTCCAACAAATCCCCACAAGGGGAGATCGTCGTAGTACATTTGAAAGTAGAAATCATGAGCAATGGCATCTCTAAACCTGGCAATTTCACTCGATTTTAATCTCTTGCTGCACAATACAGTATGAGTTTTATCCTCCCCAAATTTAAGCTCATATAATGGGCTCATTAACCGGTCACCATTAAGAACTTCCCCAAGACTTTCCTGTTTCTCAATCACAGGCTCTACAAAAATATAAAACAATCTTGAATCAACAACTTGAACTTGTGACACACACATATCACAGTGTATGAATGAAAATTCCCATTTCAGAAGCCAAAGAACAGTAAGCACAGACTTTATCATGTTTTAATTCCAATGTCGAACTAAAAGGAAAATCTGACCATTGAATTTGTCTTGAGAAACCTAACCTGGACGGCAGAACGGCAAATCATAATATTGATAGGTCTCACTGCAAACAAAACAAAACAAAACGAAAAATGGGTTGAAGTTAATCCCCCAATCTTGAAAATGGGTCTAAGAAAATGGGAGATCGTTTGGGTTACTTGTCAAGCTAAAGCTAGAAACAAAACCATATCTTACACATTCTCTTAGCTTCCCATCTAAAAAACGGATCTTTTTCTCTCACATTACCAATTCATAAGAAATCCGTCACTGTATAAAATGTATATGCTCCAAAATCTTGGCAAAGGAATTTCAAAAACCAGTAAGGGCTTCTTGGTAAAGAAATGACCTTGGATTGTGGAGAGGACCCACTTTGTTGACGAACAAAGGGACATGATCGCCGGCACTATAACTGTTGGAC